TTACTTTGGTTGAAAATTTGCTCTGATATCACTTTGTTAGAGTCAGGAGGACTAGAAATAAAATACAAGGAAGTAGAGGAGGATATGAATATTCAAAGAAAAAATAATTTCATTCAAGTGGATTACAATCACAACTTACATTCACAATGTTCACATACTCACTTAACTCAACTCTACTTACTTCTAACACTAAGTCACATACCCTAATTCACAGGATGTGTCCCAAATATTTGGTTCGGAGGCCATGATGGCCATGATGACCAAGAAGGTGTGTACGAACACCTATATGATTAAATCCTTAATCTTTTATGATTTATGTAAATCTGAATTATTATGCTCAGAAATTGTTATTAACTTTCTGACTAATATGTTCACAATGTTAAAACATTTGTCAAAAATAGGGAAAGAAGAAAGTTGGGTCTTCAAGCAGTGGAGTAGCAGAGATAGTCGTTCAAGGTGTGAGTGAAGTTAATACACCTAATGTTCCAGCAGAGTCTGAATATGAAATGTTCTACTTTGTGTAGCATAGGTTTATAGTTAGCAAGGTAGCTTTTGTTCTTGGCATGATGTTTTTGAATATGGCAGGGATTTGTTTTTGTGACAGTGCATCTTTTGTGATTTTTTTGGATTCTTGTTATTTTTAGATGCCTGCCTATTTGATGTAATATGTTGACATTGGGAATTGTCAAAATGCAACTTAGTAGTATATCAATCCAAAATATATATACATGTTTTTCATATTGCCCTTTTTAATGTAGTACATCAAATTAGTTGAAAATGCTGAGAGAGTGGCTTTCCAAATTATTTTTTGAATAGCAGAGTGACTTTCTCAGATGGAACTTGTGGTATTTCTGTACCCAATGCTTCATGTCTCTCAATGGTAAGAGGAAGTTTTGCTACGTTAAGATGATCCGGTTCTCAATTGACACTAGACTCAGTAGTAGGAAAGGGCAATTTGGGGATTATTTTTATATTTTTTGATTGCATCATCAATTTCTAACTATCATCTGAATGGAAACTGAAAGTATGGGTTTATGCATTACATGCGCACAAATATTGTGGGATCTATGTATAATATTAAAAACTAGTTATTACCTGTGCCTGAAGGCACATTGTAATAAAAAACNAAGCTGGCTCAGATGGAGAGATATCTACATTTCTAGGATCAAAAGGTGGCTCTAATACTAATTTGTTAGAATTACTTCAATGTTACTTTGGTTGAAAATTTGCTCTGATATCACTTTGTTAGAGTCAGGAGGACTAGAAATAAAATACAAGGAAGTAGAGGAGGATATGAATATTCAAAGAAAAAATAATTTCATTCAAGTGGATTACAATCACAACTTACATTCACAATGTTCACATACTCACTTAACTCAACTCTACTTACTTCTAACACTAAGTCACATACCCTAATTCACAGGATGTGTCCCAAATATTTGGTTCGGAGGCCATGATGGCCATGATGACCAAGAAGGTGTGTACGAACACCTATATGATTAAATCCTTAATCTTTTATGATTTATGTAAATCTGAATTATTATGCTCAGAAATTGTTATTAACTTTCTGACTAATATGTTCACAATGTTAAAACATTTGTCAAAAATAGGGAAAGAAGAAAGTTGGGTCTTCAAGCAGTGGAGTAGCAGAGATAGTCGTTCAAGGAGTGAGTGAAGTTAATACACCTAATGTTCCAGCAGAGTCTGAATATGAAATGTTCTACTTTGTGTAGCATAGGTTTATAGTTAGCAAGGTAGCTTTTGTTCTTGGCATGATGTTTTTGAATATGGCAGGGATTTGTTTTTGTGACAGTGCATCTTTTGTGATTTTTTTGGATTCTTGTTATTTTTAGATGCCTGCCTATTTGATGTAATATGTTGACATTGGGAATTGTCAAAATGCAACTTAGTAGTATATCAATCCAAAATATATATACATGTTTTTCATATTGCCCTTTTTAATGTAGTACATCAAATTAGTTGAAAATGCTGAGAGAGTGGCTTTCCAAATTATTTTTTGAATAGCAGAGTGACTTTCTCAGATGGAACTTGTGGTATTTCTGTACCCAATGCTTCATGTCTCTCAATGGTAAGAGGAAGTTTTGCTACGTTAAGATGATCCGGTTCTCAATTGACACTAGACTCAGTAGTAGGAAAGGGCAATTTGGGGATTATTTTTATATTTTTTGATTGCATCATCAATTTCTAACTATCATCTGAATGGAAACTGAAAGTATGGGTTTATGCATTACATGCGCACAAATATTGTGGGATCTATGTATAATATTAAAAACTAGTTATTACCTGTGCCTGAAGGCACATTGTAATAAAAAACGATAAACAATAAACATATTTGTATTCATATCCAAAATCAAATCACAAACATAGAGAAGAGATAAAATAATTTAAGCATCGGTCTGTAGTGGGGGTGAGAGGTGGTGGACGGCAGTAGTGGTGATAAGAGACGGTGATGGTTATAGTGGGTGACAATGACTGTGGTTGTGGTGGTGGCGGTGGGGGTGGCAGTGGCGGTGGTGGTGGAGGCAGTGGTGGTGGAGGCAGTGGTGATGGGTGTGGCGATGGTGGGAGGTTGGTGGCGGTGGTGGTGGTGATGGCGACAATAGCGACGGTGACGGCGACGACGGTGGTGGTGGTGGTGGCGATGGTTGGGGTGGCAATGGTAATGGCTGCGACAACGGTGGTGGTGGTGGTGACGGCGACAACAGTGGCGGTGGTGGTGGTGGCAACGGTGACTACAGTGGCGGTGGTGGTGGTGGTGGTAAAGGTAGTGGTGGTAATGGTGATGACTATAGTGGCGGTGGTGGTGGTAGAGGTAGTGGTGGGGCGGTTTCAAACACTATTATTTTTTTCAAAGTAGTCATGAGAAATAATTTTTAAAAGTACTTTTAAAAAATTATTCAAAACACACCATTAAAGGCCTTTTCTATTAAATTGAGGATGCTAATATTAGCTGTTATATTCACTTTAAAGTAAAATTTAAAGTGATCTCAACCGCAAATAACAAAAGTCATTTTATTTATCTTTTAAAATTTAAATTGTAGGTTATTTTATTATATAAATATTAAGGAATATGACTGATTTAAGTGATAAAACTGAGGGTTGAATATAATTTACCCTCTTAAAAAAAGGTTGTCTTTAGTCTGCATGCAATTAACTATGAGGTGGAGAAAAAAATATTGGATGTAATAGTGATATTATATAATATTAATGATGTAATATCACTAATCAGTGATAGAATATCAAGTAGATTTAGTGGGCTCCACTATTTTATACGTCACTCGAATGATTACGTGGTGTGTCCGTTACACCCAATATTTTTTCGAGGTGGAGAGATTGACTTGTCCATTTCGTTGGGGATTTTGGGAGATTATAAAAATTATGAAACAATCAATTTTCTATTTTATTAATTTTGATCAATTGTAATCATCGATTATAAAGTTTGACCCCACCCCACAAATATTTATTTCCAGCCTATTTAATTTTTTATAATCAAACTATTAAGTTCACATTTTCTATACCCATTTTATATTATACACACCTTTTTAATAAATAAGTCTATTTTATATTCTCTCGTAATTAAAGTATCATTCACTATCTAATCTCATATCTACCCAATTCATATATTTCAATCCAAACTATCACTCTCTGTATCTGAACTACCCCTTTAGATGTCCCAATTCTTCTTTAAGGTTTCGGGCACGCTAGGATATTGCCTTACGCCATTGATGGTGAAGTTTGCTGGAGAGTTTTGGTGATAGATTAGAGAGAGAGAGAAGAGGGCAAGAGTTTATTGGGTGACTTGGTGTTATTTGTTGGATGTCCGTATCTGTACTCATATGTGTATCCTTCAGAAGGGACAATTTTTTTTATTTTTGGTTCTTTGAAGGAAAATATCTTTGACGTGTCTAACCCAGATCTGACTCAGTTCGTAGGCATTGTCTAAAATTACAAATTAGATCCACCTCAAACATACGAGTCGAGTCTACCATAGGTTGGAGGAAGTTAGGTCAAGTTAGTCGCGCTATCTTGAGAGAGTTAGGTCAGCCGTGTCACATAAAAAACTCAATCCACAACTAACATGCGAAGAGATCTCTTTGGGATACACATGTCTCCACCTCACGGAATTGTCTCGCTTATTACGAGAAGAGCGCTACCTCTATCGAACTACCTCACTTGATACAAGAAAAACACTTTCATCTATTAAGAGACGCTTATAAATTGTGAACTCTACCTAAACAAAAAGGACATCTCACTCACATGTGAACATTCTACAACCCTTAAGCAATAAAGTAATCAAGTCATCCTAACCCTCCACCGTGGAATAAGTCACCTTAACCGAATCACTTAAAGTTCTCATCATTTATTATTACATTTAATACTTGTCAGGTGATGCAAAAACACGTTTTGTGCATCATAATATCTCATCTTCTTCTTAGAATGGTTTCATTTTAAAGTTGTTATGTGTCATTTAGTGTAGAAGTCCAGCTATAGATAGAGAATGTTGAACACAACGGTAATATTATATCATAATTGATATAATGACACATTTTATCACACATTACTTATGGAATAGTCACATTACTAAATAAGTAACGAAAACTAATAGAACAGTCATATTATAACACTTTAAACACTTTTAATACATCGATGGTGTAATATGAAAAATTTAATATTTGAGGGTGTAAAATAAAGAGGATGGCTGTAAGATTGAGAAAGAACAAGCAGGAGCAAGTCGCACGGGTAATTTTATAATATAGCAGTCAGTTTACCTCTCCTACCTTCATCTTATCCAACGAGAAAGATTAGTTGTTGGTCAAGCAATTCAGGCTAAGCAGTTCTATCAAGAAGATAGTCACTTGATTGCACTGCTTACTAATCGATGCCTTGGGCAAAACGATCACAAGTCTATCAAAAAATGAACATCAAAGTGCAATTCATCTTATTATCATCAGCCAAACAATAATAAAAAACAAATAACCGTCCCTTAAAACAAAATAAAAAAAAAAGTGCTAACAAGAATCGAAGTAATAATTTCAATTTACCAAATCAAACTAAATTAAGACTTAAGTTCCAATCATTTGGATCGGCTAAAGTAATAACTTCAATATCCTCCCACCCAAATCACTAATCAAGTGAGCCTCGAATTGAGATGGTAGTAACTTTAGGATTTATGATTTAAGCATATATACAACTCCAATATCAAGGCAGGATATGATTGTGCTCGGCTGCACTAGTTGGCTATTCAATATTCATGGAAAACTCTTATCAAACAATTCAAGTTCTAGATGTGGAAATAAAGATTCATTTTTGAAAAGTAGATCCGCAAATGGGAAGTCAGGTGTGTTGTCCCTTAGCCAGGAGGATTTTGCCTCGGTGGTTCAAAACCATGGTCATAATAGTATACAACTCTCATCACCTGTGGAGCCATTCTTTGTCCAAGGCCACAACAAATCCCACAAATGTTGGAGATACTTTCTAGTAAAGCCCACCTAGGCTCATACCATTATGGAGAACATGTGGTTACATTCCCTGGTGAATAGCTGGAGGAGGCATACCGAAAGGAAAAACAATTATTTCTCCATTCTGCACTTGTGTACATGAAAACCACTAACATTCACAAGGTAGGTCAGTTTGGCCAAGACCAAGAAGAACATATCTATCGCCTCAGCAGACTGGTGACTTGAGACTGCAAACCTCAAAGGTCATAGCAAACATATCAAACATGTGTCCTTTTCCCTCCAGATTGGCGTTTAACCAAATTGAAGAACACGTCCTCTAACGATTTGGAGGGATTTCAATGTGAAATCAGTAAGTGCCAAATCTTTAGATTTTTCTTATGGAATCCACATATGCTCCCGAGATAACCAATTTCAACTTCGCGAAAAAAGAAGTCTCACAGACACTAGATTCACTCGCAATTGGTGATGCGGCAGCAATAAGAACAATATTCTCCCCGTTTCCAACATCTATTTCATACAACTCATGGAAAACCTCCTGAAACTCATGTATCAATGTCTCGTGGAACGACTTACTAGGAGGAATCACATTAACCACAAGTATACCAAGCTCATGAAGAACCAATCTAGCTTCCATAAGAGTTGACTTCCTGACAAACTCCAATGGGGGAGCACTAATGCCCATTGTAGCATCACAAGAATCCAGATCAACCATTATCACATCAAACTTAGCATCAAACACATCAACAGTATCCAAACAACCAACATTCTCTACTTTACAAGTACTAAAAGCATCAGCATTTTGATTTTTCACTTGACAAGCAAGTTTCTCTATCAATTCTATTGCATCTCCAACACACACACTTAAACATTCACCATCTTGCAAGCCAAAATACTGCCTGGCAAGCCTCAAAACAACATCGTCCGCCTCCACAGCCAAAACCTCAAACCCCAATTGAGAATTCAAAAAACTAGGCAAAGCCCCACCGCCAACACCTAAACACAACGCTTTCGGTTTAATCCTATATCGAATTTTTTCATCAATATACGAACTGATCACAGATAAACCTGCAACCATTGGAATAAAATAAGGATGAACCAGAATCCCTTTATCTATCATAAACCCTGCACCCACTAAATCCACAAAACCAAATCCCACATTCCCATTTTCAATCGAATACGGGTAAATTCTTACCTGGGTTTGAATCAAATTGGGCGTTCTTTTGAACCTTAATCTCCTTCGAAACTCTCTACTACACTTAGACTCACCAGTGCCATTACTTTCCAATTCAACATCTTCAACCAATAATTCACCAACACAAGGCCCACAACACCTCTCTACAACTACACTACGAATCACATCATCTTCGTAAATCAAAAAGGGTACCTCGGGCAGACCCTTTTCTGGAAATGCCGATTTGGGCAGTACAGCAAACACTAGGGGGGTTAAATTTTCTTCAAGCTTTGCCCGACTTACCGGGTCGATAAGTATCGGTGGGTCTGGATTATAAATAGTAGGGTGAGGAGAATTTGGAAGGTTTCCGATGAGGATGAGGCGGGAGAGCTGGGTGGAGGAGGAGAGAAGGAGTTGGAGGTGGCCGGGTTGAGTGGAAAAGGTCCAGTCAGACTCGCGGTGGGGAGGTACGAGCATGGCGGCGATTTGGGAGGGGTTTGACGTGGTCGGAGAGTCGTGTACGGCGATGCGGAGTAGGGCATTGTGGAGGTGGGGGTTGGGAAGAGTTGGGTTTGGGAATGTGAAGGTGATGAAGCGGGAGGACACTATAGTTCCGAAGGTGGATGGGTCGAGGGACATTGTGAGTTTGAGGAAGGTGAGGGAAATGGAACGAAAGAAAGACTTTCGATATGCGCAGATCGGAAAAACAATTCGAGGGAGAATTATTCGCAGCCCTGATATTTTGAAATATTACATATTTGTACTGGCGTAAGACCAACTCTTATGGTTAATGTGCGTTTCTATATTTATTAGTAAATTATATTTAAATTTTTTAAATTTATTAACGTGTAATACTTAAATATCTTAAATTTAAAATATTATACTTACACTAAAAATATTTTAATCAAAGATAAAATGTCAAATATTTTAAATTTTATAATCAAAATTCATACGCTACTTTTTCTTAAAAAATTATAATTAATATACAATTATATTATCAATTAGAATTTAATTTGGTGGTTTAAATGACCAAATTAAACTACAAAATTACCAAAATTAAAACAAAAAAATATTATGTCCATTACAGTTTGATCCCTTGTTTATTTTTTAGTTTTATTCTAGTAAATAGTATAATTGTATACTAATTACTATTTTTTAAGAAAAAATTAAAATTTTATTTTAGATTTTATTTAAATAAATAATACAATAGAACATAATTTTTGTTGTAAAATTTAAAATATTTGATATTCTATCTTTAATTAGATTATTTTTTTACCTAAATATAATATTTTCAATTTGAAGAGTTTAAGTATTATACGTCAATAAACTTTTAAAAATTTAGATGTAATTTACTAACACTGTGAACATTGACGACAATGTCTAAGGGTTACGTGTATATAAACTTTAGGAGGTCTGTGTATAATATTTTAAATATTAAGGGGTCAGAGTAATTAAGTAACAACTTTTAAGAGAACCGAGTGAAATTCTCTCAAAATTCATTGGAAAGAAAAATACAGGTAAATTACATTTTCTCCCATAGAACTATTATTATTGTTTCACTTTATACTATTAACTATAAAAATTTTCACATTGTGCCATAAAATATCAATTTTATTTCATATCATTATAATAGATAATAATTGTTAATTTTTTGACGAATTAGAATGACAAATTTAAAAATATATCAAAGGAGGGCAGGAAACCCTAAAGAGCTTTTTGCTAAGTGTCTAGTATCACTTTTTTTTTTTTTTTACCTTTTTTGTAACCAAATAGTAGCTAGGAAGGAAAAGAAGGTTGGCCAGATGAAGAAATTTTAGAGTTTAAGAAGGGGAAAGTGATGGATAGGTATTTTTTTTTTTACTTGAACATGTGTAATAGACAGTTATTTATTGGCAATATAGACCACTTACATGTGTAGTTACCGTCCAAAAAATTGATAGTCATTATCTATTGGAGTGACAGAAAATAAAATTGATACTTTATGGTGTAATGTAATAAATTTTGTAATTTAGGGTGTATAGTAAAATAAAGGTAATAGTTCAAATAGATAAAGTGTAATTTATTGCAACTGTGGTTAATATCAACACAAATAAGCAAATGGACTCCATAAAAATTGATAACTCACTCTTGCTCCATGTAAACAAATAACTACCAACTTGCCCACTTGATATTTTTCTTTTATAATTAGTTGGTCATATTACGTCAGTATTGCTAACATCGTATCACCGTTGCATTGAATATTTTCTCATGTTCAAAAATACTTTTTATATTGTTTGAAATTTTTTTTTGGGTTAATTACAAAACGCCTTCTTCAACTTTGGGTACTTTGCAACTCACTTATTTAGGTTTTTATTTTAACAAATAGTCCCCTTTAAGTTTGAATATTTTGTAATTAACTCCAATAATTATTTTTAGACAATAAAAACTAACTAAAGTTAGACATGTCAAATTTACGTGATCCATACTTTATTGAACAGAGATAATTATTCTTACACCTATTTTTTCCTAGTATGAAATATCTATACTTCCTTTTTTACTCGTATATTTTTCCATCCTCTCCTACCTCTAATGGTTAACTCTCATTCATTTCTCCCCTTTCGGTAAAAACCCTCCCTTCCCTATGAGGAGGTGGAGGCGAAGGTTTCTTTATTTTTTATTCTTAGTTTTTTCGTTTATTTATTTTTTAAGGACAAAATTGATAACTTAAGAAAAATATATGAGAAATAATGTACAAGACGGATGGTGTAATGGTTCTTTCAGGTGTTCAACCTCTATTGTTAGTCAATTTAATCCTCTTGAAATTTGGAAGGGGTAAATTACAAGATTTTAAATGATGGGGAGTTGATTATAACAAGGGACATAGTTAGAGGGTGCATATTATAATTAATCCATTTTTTGCTACATGTCTTCTAAAATTACTAGCCAATGTCTTCACGATGTGCAACATACAATTTGAGCATTTAAAAAATCAATCTCTATATATTAAATAGTAATTTGTTTCCATCCTTTTCCTTTTATTACATAATTTGAAATTCATTTCTATCCACTATTTTTATAAAAAAATTAATAATTTTTTTTTCAAAAATCATGACTTTAAAAAATATCGAATATGAACAATATTTGAAATAAAAATTATATTAAGTCACAAATTAATACGAAATTAAATAATTCAACTTGTGATATAAATAAGTAAAATGATAAAAAGAAAGAGAAAAATATATGAAAATAAAATTCAAGGTACTAATTATTTTATTAGATAGATTAATATTTTAATTTTATCCTTTTCCTCCATCAACCCACCTACAGCACTAGTAGATCTCACCAACACCACCACTTACCATCATTCACCACAAGCACCAACATTGCCACCATTATTGCCTCCATTACTACAAGCACCACATCACTCTCACCACTACATCTACCACCACCACTATCTCGACCATCGTACTATACCATTTTCCAAACTCCCACTACCATAGGCATTATTACCCTTCACCATCTTACCTACGGCATTGTTGTTGCTGCCATTGAGGTCGAGATGATAGTGGTGGGAGCAACCCTAGTAGGATGGTGGGGTGTGTGTCTACTAATGATGGTGATAGTGATGAGGTGGTATTGGGATGCTTGTAACAACGGTTGGGTGGAAATGGTGGAAAGGATGATGGTGGCGTGTGACAATAATGGTGGTGAGATGACGGTAGAGTGGTAGCAAGCGTAAAAAAGTAGGTGATGGTTTTGAATGTATTTTGAAAAGGTAATTAAAGTTTTTAGTGTGGTGAATTTTGGCTTTAAATGGCACTTAATTGAATTTTTGTGAAACGTTTTTCATTTTTAAATATTGAATTGGAACAACTCAATTCTATCATTGGATTAAATTTTATCTTATTTAAATTTAACTTAAAAACTTTGGTTGTCCAATATTTTTTTATCACCCTTGTGAGAATCCCTTGAAAATCAGGAGTCAAATCCCAAAAATCCAATCTAATACTCAATTGAGTTGAATTTTAGAGAATTATATCTGAGTGGCAACTCAATTTCATCAATAAGTCATGTGGATTATTCATATGTATATTACGTTTGATTCAAATTGAATCATAATCAGATCGGATAGTGTCATGTCTGAATTTGATTTTATAAAACATTGATCTAATTTATTTGAATGATTGATCAAAAACATTGATTTATATTCGACTAATCAATTTTGGATCAAAGTACGATCCATTGTCATGCATACTGATGGGTCAAGCCCAAATAGCTCAATTTATGTGAGAAGTCCAACCCCAATTGAGGAGCCCAACCTTATGAAAAATCCACCAAGCCCAATATAGTTCAAGACCAGTTAAACTCTTTGCTTAACCACGTCATCAAGGGGGAGAGCATGAGAAGTTTTATCTGCACTACCGAAGGAAACGGTCCATCTTTGACCGTTTTTCATGGAGAGCTCCTCAACCACCTCGCTCGTTGAGAAGAGATCGGGAGCTCCACCGAAATAGTTGCTTAGTCGCTGGAAAGCAGCCCCAACCTGTTAGGGGGCCACTATAAATTGCACGCTCCATCAACACTTGGAAGGACACT